TGGGACAGTCTCCTTGACGCCCTTCCACCAATGACGTTCAGCGACGTCACCAAAACGCAGCCCCCCTAACTATCGCGATCACTGCCTTTAAGTATTTATTCGAACGTAAATAGAAGAGCTCAGGCTACCTACCAAAGTACATTAATGTAGCTAGGGGTATTAATGACGACAAAACGATTGATGAACTCTCGATAATGTTGGCCTATCAATTGCCACGAGACCCGGAAAGGACCTGGAAATGGAAGATTTGCTTGAAGATCGCCACAGTCCTTATGCATTCTAGGGAACCTATTGACATACCACTGATGATTCCTAGAAGAGAGGGATCAAATTTGAGCCCGTCGAGATCAAATACATAGTATACCGAGCACTGGACGCCCGTGTTCGCTTCCATCTGAAAGATAAACTCGTTTCAACGATTTCACCATGAATCTTTTGAAGGTCAAGCGACGTCACTGATTTCACAAGCGATTACTGTATCGCCGTTTGACACCCTTACATACACGTGGCCGTACCTCATTCAAGAGTGCGAGTATCTTTTCGAAGTTGCGGAACAACTGATGCAAATATTCGGTCGGTTGAATCGACTTCATCACTCCACCGATATCGATCCGACCTGAAGTTATTGGCCGCGTTGAAATCGATTATCCAGAACGGATAGAAGAACTGATCGAATTACGAAAATGCATGTCACCATTACGAATAAGGGCGTGTTCCTCAGGTGAATTTCCCGGATCGCGGTGATCCCCAGCGCCCAGATTTATGGTCTACTATTACTGTTCAAATGGAGGGGGAGGGGTCAACTGCCCGTTATGCCGTTTTAGAAAATTCCGGTCCCCCCTCCCCCTCGTTTTTTCAGTGTTCTTAGTAATGATTTTGCGCATGTTGAAATGAGGTCTTCTATGACTCCCACCCCTAACCACCTCAAAAGACAATCCTCATAAAGGAAAATATAGCTAAAGGAATACAAATTCTCAAATAGTCTTTAATTCACGCTTACTCCCTCACGTTTCCGCCAACATCATTTTGAAACACGTAAAAACGGACTCCTCGTCTCCTCCACTGCAACACGACCCCTACTGAACCTC